ATAAAAGCAGTTTCTCATTCTTTTGAACAAGCTGCGATTGCTTTGGTACATTCATGCAATTGATTATGTGTATTTATCTGCGGTTTCCTACATTATCAGCTGCTAATGTCATGTTGCTCAAAATGTATTATATAGTTCTCTGTGCAACAGGCTTACCCCCCAAAACATATAGTCATTAGTTCATCGTGTAAGCCATTAAATGCAAAATGGTTGAACTGGTTGTCATAAACTGTCAAGCACATTTTTTACACATAATTAGATTTTTTTGTAAATTTAGCATGAATTGTGCAAGTGAATCTTAACTTTCACTAATGAAGAGAATTGATAAACCAGTTCTCTGAAATAGCTCAAAGGTTCATCTCATGAATCTTCAGTTGGAAAGCATATACTGTATAGACAGAGGACAACACAAGAGTTACAAATTCTGGCAATGGACTTTCTTATTTTTTTTAATTTTCATCTTTGTATCCATATTTCTGGTTCTGGTTCTAGTAAGAACTCTAGCTGCAGCATTGTGGATCAGCTGGAGTTTGTTTATTACAGTTTTTCTCAGTCGCTTTGGTGCATTTCTCAGATCAGAAATGAAATTCTCAAAACTACTTGTTCAACCTCCACATTATCTAGTCACTTGTGCACATTATAAAAGCAGTTTCTCATTCTTTTGAACAAGTTACGATTGCTTTGGTACATTCATGCAATTGATTATGTGTATTTATCTGCGGTTTCCTACATTATCAGCTGCTAATGTCATGTTGCTCAAAATGTATTATATAGTTCTCTGTGCAACAGGCTTACCCCCCAAAACATCTAGTCATTAGTTCATCGTGTAAGTCATTCAATGCAAAATGGTTGATCTAGTTGTCATAAACTGTCAAGCATATTTTTTACACATTTCTATTAGACTTTTTGTAAATTTGCCATGAATTGTGCAAGTGAATCTTGACTTTCACTAACTAATGATAAACCAGTTCTCTGAAATTTCTGAAATCTCTGAAATCTCTGAAGTTCTGCCTAAGGGGAGTTTGCTGTCTAATTTTGTGTTTTCGCCCATATTTCATTTTCTTTTCTATACCACAATGACATTGTAAAGTTTTGTTTTTGTTTTTCTGTGGTCAGACCACTAGTAAAGTGTAACTGTGAATCCTATCCAGTCTCTTTCAATCAATATCCCACATGTTTGTGAACAATGACACAAGCACTTTTCATTCTGATGGCACTGTTGTGTTCATTGACATAAATACTTGCTTTTGAGAGACGAACTAAAGATTTTGAGTAAGTTACAGGCTTTTGCAGGAGATCCATTGTGAGGTGCTGTTTGTACAAATTGTTTTGAGAAATGCACATACTGGTTTGCAGATATTAAGGATGATTCGAGAAATGCACCAAAGCGACTGAGAAAAACTGTAATAATGATTATAGGGTGTTGCTATGCAGTTACTAGGGTACTTGGGGTGGTTGCTAAGGTGTTGCTAGGGTAGGGTTGCTAGGGTGTTGCTCTGTGGTTGCTAGGGTACTGGAGGTGGTTGCTAGGTTGGTTTGGCTAGTTGCAAGAGTGTTGCTATGAAGATAGATAGATAGATAGATAGATAGATAGATAGATAGATAGATAGATAGATAGATAGTCTATGGGACTTACATTACATTGGGGTTTATAATTTTATAATATTATAAAATATTATAATAACCTAACGGGAACCTTCACAGGTCATATTTTATTAGCTGGGAGCATCTGAGGTGTGCATCTGGAAACTCGTAAACTCCTGAAACTCTCATGCTTCTCGAGTCCAGTCATGCTCTTACTCACTGTGATGCCCGCACACGCTCAGTCAGGGACTCTTGCCGTCTCCTTTCACTAAGTGCTCTTCTTGAGGTTCTGATAGGAGAGGAGTCATCTGTTCTCAGGTGGGCCGTGTCCCTCGGTTCATCCCCATCATATGTGCATCTGCACACTCACCTTTAGCGGACATGCTTTCATGCGCACACTGATGTTGGACTCTCAGAATGACCTCCGCCTGCCGTCGCTCTGCAGATGAGGGTTGCCAGGAAACCATCTCCAGTGGCAACAGCAGAAGACAAGAGAACATATGATTGGAGGACAGCGAAGCGCCGGAAGCCCATATAAAGCCGCCGGATGCTCTCCGAGTTCAGCTCCTGTTAGTGCTGTGCACTGGATCAGTCTGGAGCAGGACGGACTATAAAGAGAACGTTCAAATCCTGTCGTCATTTGCTCACCCTCACCTCGCTTCTGTCTTCTTCTGCACGCAAAAGAAGATGTTTTGAAGAATGTCTGAGACTTCTATAGTCGTTTTTATTTAGCAATAGCTGCCAGCAACTGCTTGTTTCCCGGCATTCTCCTAAATATCTCATAACTCATGAGGAAATGATGACAGGATTTGCATGTGAGGGTACCTTTAGGCTTTAGCTGAGTTCCTGAGATGCTGTAAGTGTGCATGTGTCTGTCTCTCAGAGGACAGTGTTTAGTGGAAACGCTGCCCTCTCCTGAGCGCTTCACACACTAATGCTGCTCTTTTCTGAGGATGAGAAAGCACAGACTGAATATGTTATAGGAACCGCAAGCACTAAATGCATGACATTAACATTCATTCTGATATTTCATGCACATATAGATGAATGCATGAGAAAAGAGGTGATTTCACACTGAATGCTATAAACCTCTGGAAGACACGACCGATGAGACCACAGAGGAATCCTGCTCAATATGACATCTTTGCCAAGTTATTCAGCGCTTGCATTGCACAAGACTGTATTTTAAAACCCGAGACACGGTGCATAACTTTGGCTGCACCACGTTAAAATGAAAATATAACTGAATTCACTTGAATCTCATGCGTTTGTGCTTCGAGCTGATGCAAGCGTGCACCGTGCATTCACAAACACATCAGCCTGCATTTACTCCTATCACAAACTAATACCTTTTGTGCTGCTGAGTGCCAGATTTACATTTAACAGAAGCTTGTATCCTTACAAATGAGGACAACAGAAGCAATCAAAACCAACAAAAGAGCAACGCAAGTGCTCTAGAGAAAGCTGGAGTTACAGGCCTTGCTTAAAGACAACACGCAGTTAGAAAACCAATAGAGACTGCACGTGTTAGAGGGGTTTTTAATTTAAAAAAATAAATAAATAAAAGTAGAAATGTAAACATTTATTTGTGAAAGAAAACCATAATTTTGGTCTACTTGAACTGAACACATGAGAGGCGGCGCAGATGCTGGAGCGCATGCGCAGTGCGGCTGTTCTCCGGCCGCCAGGCGGCGCTGATGCGCTCCGCGCTGCTGCTGGATCCAGTCACTCTGCGCTCCTGTATTTCCGCATTCCGCACAAGGACACACTCGGTCCGAGAGGCTGCTGGTCTGCTCGCTACTGCGGTTCAGGGATGGCTCGACTGCTGCTTGGGGGCACTTTCAGAGGATACCTCACCTCACCGCTCCGGATGATGGGATCCGATCAGGTAACTTACTGAAGATTAATGATGGACCAGACGCTCAGAGCTCCGGAGTGAACATACACACTCAAACTCTCTCTCTCTCTCACACACACACACACACACACTCAAACTCTCTCTCTCTCACACACACACACACACTCAAACTCTCTCTCTCTCTCACACACACACACACACACACACACACACTCACACTCTCTCTCTCTCTCTCACACACACACACACACACACACACACACACACACACTCAAACTCTCTCTCTCTCACACACACACACACACACACTACTCTCACACACACTCGCTCTCACACACACACACACACTCTCACACACAC